ATGATATGTCCATCATCATCTTGTGCTCATGATTTCCATCACCGAAGCATCGTCATGATCTCCATCGTCACCGGGGCGACACCTTGATCTCCATCGTAGCATCGTTGTCGTCTCGCCAACTATTGTTACTACGACTATCCTACCGCTTAGTGATAAAGTAAAACAATTACATGACGATTGCATTGCATACAATAAAGCGACAACCATATGGCTCCTGCCAGTTGCCGATAACTCTGTTACAAAACATGATCATCTCATACAACAATTTGTATCACATCATGCCTTGACCATATCACATCACAGCAAGCCCTGCAAAAACAAGTTAGACGTCCTCTACTTTGTTGTTGCAATTTTTACGTGGCTGCTACGGGCTTCTAGCAAGAACCGTTCTTACATACGCATCAAAAACCACAACGATTTTTTGTCAAGTGTGATGTTTTAACCTTCAACAAGGACCGGCCATAGTCAAACTCGATTCAACTAAAGTTGGAGAAACAGACACCCACCAGCCATCTATGTGCAAAGCACGTCGGTAGAACCAGTCTCATGAACATGGTCATGTAATGTCGATCCAAGCGGTCTTCATCCAACAATACCGCCGAATCAAAGTAAGACGTTGGTGGTAAGCAGTATGACTATTATCGCCCATAACTCTTTGTGTTCTACTCGTGCATATAACATCTACGCATGGACCTGGCTTGGATGCCACTGTTGGGGAACGTAGCATGCAATTTAAAAAAAAATCCTATGATCACACAAGATCTATCTAGGAGATACATAACAACGAGAGGGGGAGTGTATCTTCATACCCTTGAAGATAGCAAAGCGGAAGCATTTATCAACGCGGTTGATGTAGTCGTACACCTTCACGGTCCGTCCCGATCAAGTACTGAACGTACTACACCTCCGCGTTCAGCACACGTTCAGCTCGATGACGTCCTCGCCTTCTTGATCCAGCAAGACGAGCGAAGTAGTAGATGAGTTCCGACACCACGATGGCGTGGTGACGGTGTTGGTGAAGAACAATCTCCGCAGGGCTTCGCCTAAGCACTATGAAAACTATGACGGAGCATAAACTAGAGGGGACGGGGTTGCCGGCACACAGCTTGGTGTTTCTTGATGTGTCTTGGGTGCTAGCCCTGCCCCTCTATTTATATGTGGAGCCTTGGGGTCGAAACTTGGAGTAAAAGCTTCCACAAAATTGGTTTCACCCGAAAAGCAAGAGTCCTTCTCGGACTCCAGGGCCAGACGCCAGGGTTCCCGGTGTCTGGCCCCTGGACTCCGCAAAACTTCCTTTTGCGCTTTCCAAAAACCTTGTGGGCTTTCCCTTTTGGCCCAAATAAAGTGTTCTCGTACCCAAACATTTGGGGAAACATCAGTAACCCCTTCTGGTGAATTCCGAAACCCTTCTAGAGACCAAACACTATTATCCGATATATCAATCTTTATCTTCGGACCATTCCGGAGTACCTCGTCATGTCCATGATCACATCCGGGACTCCGAACAACATTCTGTCACCAACATACATAACTCATATAATACTATATCGTCAACAAACGTTAAGCGTGCGGACCCTACGGGTTCGAGAACTATGTAGACATGACCGAGACACCTCTCTGGCCAATAACCAATAGTGGAACCTGGATGCCCATATTGGCTCCTACATATTCTACGAAGATCTTTATCGGTCAAACTGTTATGACAACATACATTATTCCCTTTGTCATCGGTATGTTACTTACCCAAGATTCGATCGTCGATATCTTCATACCTAGTTCAATCTCGTTACCGGCAAGTCTCTTTACTCGTTCAGTAATACATCATTCTGTAACTAACTCATTAGTCATATTGCTTGCAAGGCTTATTATGATGTGCATTACCGAGAGGGCCCAGAGATACCTCTCCGACTCGGAGCGACAAATCATAATCTCGATCTATGCCAACCCAACAAACACCTTTGGAGACACCCGTAGAGCATCTTTATAATCACCCATTTACGTTGTGACGTTTGATAGCACACAAGGTGTTCCTCTGGTATTCGGGAGTTGCATAATCTCATAGTCTGAGGAACATGTATAAGTCATGAAGAAAGCAGTAGCAATGAAACTGTAACGATCATAATGCTAAGCTAACGGATGGGTCATGTTCATCACATCATTCTCCTAATGATGTGATCCCGTTCATCAAACGACAACACATGTCTATGGTTAGGAAACTTAACCATCTTTGATTAACGAGCTAGTCAAGTAGAGTCATACTAGAGACACTATGTCTTGTCTATGTATTCACACATGTATTAAGTTTCCGGTTAATACAATTCTAGCATGAATAATAAACATTTATCATGAAATAAGGAAATAAATAATAACTTTATTATTGTCTCTAGGGCATATTTCCTTCAGACGCCTCCTATGGTTTAGTTTTGTTTCGTTCACTTGGACATCGTGGAATCATAACAAACTTGTGATTGCCTGTGAACATCTACGACAAATCAATTTGTGATTGCCCGTGAACATCTACGACAAATGAACATCTACGACAAATCGACAATGCTACTGGCGCGATTTTTAAACTCATTGCAACGATCGGAACTCCACCAACTCATTTGTCGGTAGGCTTCGGGGAGTTGCTCATCGTCTCGCGTCGGCTATTTAGCGACTTGTCTATTTATTTGCGCCCTCGGGTCTGTTTACGCTATGACTTCAACGGACTTTGTTTGTGTTGAACCTAATATCTATGTTCTACATTTAGATCTTGTGGGTGCTTGCCTTATCTATAAAACAGAGTCACACATGCTTCTATGATATATTTTTTGACTTAAGACAAACTAATATGACATATTTTTTTGGAAGGAGAATAGGTAGTGGTACAAATTATAGCCACGGCGAAACGATATGGAGAATGAGAAATACACGTCGGCCACTTGATTAGCACGTATAACTGCCTGAGAGTTGCCAGGGCCAGGTTGAATATTTAAAACACTAGATAAAACCCAATCATACTTGCCAACAAGTGAACACTTTAATGTTTAGAAATACAACTCCTATTGAAATAGGCCTTCGTCTCACTTTATAAATAAAACAACCGCCGTGTCTATACAAGCAGTGCAAGTGTAGGAAAGTAAATATGAGGTGTTATCGCAAAAGCACAAACATACACTAAAAGTAAAAGAATTACAGCTCCTATTTGAGATGAAAAATACAACATGCAACCCAAAATGCTTTGAAAATGAGCCTTTTCAGAGTATCATTTTTTTTCATGAGCACATCAAATCTTACTTCTTCACTAATTTTTGCCTCAGAGTACAACATTCAAACATGTCTATTAGAAAAAAACATAATTTTCATTTTTGTATTAATTTTTTAAAATTTTATTGTTCATCTGGGTGCATGCGCACGTGGGAGCAGAAACTCCATGTTTGATGGGAGATGCCATATTCATGTGATGGTGTTTCGAAAGCATAAGGAATCATCATGACCAGTAAACTTCTTTTGAAACAAATATTGTTAAGATAGTAATTGCAGTGCACGCTCATACAAAGTATAGTCGAAAATTATAATGTTGTGCAGAAGAAAATACACCATCCATGCTTTAGAGGGTTCCTACACTCACTGGAAGGAGAAGAGGCCTCCACTAGTTTAGTTTTGTTTCATTCACCTGGACATCATGGACTCATAACAAACTTGTGTTTGCTCGTGAAAGTCTATGCCAATGCTACTGATGTGATCTTTAAACTCAGTGTTTTCATGCGACAATTGCCGTTGCTAGCTGAACCCAAGGACCGGAACTCCATCAACTCATTTGTCGGCAGGCTTCAGAGAGTGGCTTGTCGTCTATCGTCGGTGATTTAACGACTTTTGTCTATTTTATTTTGCGTCCTTGGGTCTGTTTACGCTATGACTCCAACGGACTTTGTTTGTGTCAAACCTACTATATGTATTGTACGTTTAGATCTTTGGGTGCTTGCTTTCTCTATGAAGTGGATGCACGCTTGCTTTTATGAATTCTTCTGACAAGACAAACTAATACGACATATTTTTTTGGAAGGAGAGTAGCTAATGATACAAATTGTATCCACGAATGAAACCATATAGAGAACAAGAAGTACACGTCAGCAAAATGATTAACATCTATAACCTTTTGAGAATTGCGAGATCAAACATTTTGAACACCTTCTAGATAGAACTCAATCAAAATTGCAACAACTCAAAGACTTGTTGTTAACACCGCAAGCACTTCAATGTTCAGAGATATAGCTTATGTTGAAATAGATTTTCGCATGGCTTTATACATAAAGCAACTACCACGTCTATACAAGCAGTGCAAATGCTAAGTTAATATAAGGTCTGCCGGGGCAAAAGCACAAACAAACCAAAAGGTAAAAGAAATCCAACTCCTATATTTGCAGATAGAAGCCACCGAACAAATTGTAACACTGCTTGAGCCTCGGAGAGCATGTTTTTAATTTCATCCCCACATGTAAATTGTGAATGACTCCAGTGAAATAATAAAAGTGCTGCTTATTATGCACTACTCAAAGAGTTTGCCGGAATAAAACTACCCTGCACTTTTGTTCCTTTTCTGTGTGGCAAACTTATTTACAGCTGGTATACCGCCTCCCAATCCACCGTTTGCTTTGCTTGGCAACAGCCAGAAAAAAAAGCTTTACGCAGAAAAAAAAAATCCTCGAAATAGGGAACGGGGGCGGGGAAAAAGCTGTGCACGTAGAGACTCCAGCAATTGGGTGAAACAAACCCATAAAAATACAAAATGCAAGGAGACGGGGAAAAATATCTGCCCTCCCAAGCCAAGAGCCCCAGCCCAACCATGCTCCACGGAGCAGAGCCATAGAGAAGGCGCGGAGCAAAGGAAACAAGCGAGGCGAGGCGAGGCGAGAAATAGTTTTCGCAGAGCCGTTAAGCTCACCTCCTTCGAGGCCGGCTGCTCCTCCACCTAATCCCCTTCGCCTCGCCTCCCCGCCCACCGCCACCACCCGTCGATGTCGGCCATCAAGCCGCCGCCGCCTGACCGGCCGCCGCAGGCCGCGCGGCTGCCGTCCCCTTCCTCCTCCTCCTCGGCGGCGGCGGCGGCCAAGCAAGGCGGCACAGGCTCCCGCGGGCTGCTCATGGGGCGCTACGAGCTGGGCCGCGTCCTGGGCAAAGGCACCTTCGCCAAGGTGTACCACGCGCGGCACGTGCAGACCGGGGAGAGCGTGGCCATCAAGGTGCTCGACCGGGAGAAGGCCGTGCGGAGCGGCCTCGTCTCGCACATCAAGCGCGAGATCGCCGTGCTCCGCCGCGTGCGCCACCCCAACATCGTGCACCTCTTCGAGGTCATGGCCACCAAGACCAAGATCTACTTCGTCATGGAGCTCGTCCGCGGCGGCGAGCTCTTCTCCCGCGTCTCCAAGGGCCGCCTCAAGGAGGACATTGCTCGCCGCTACTTCCAGCACCTCATCTCCGCCGTCGGATTCTGCCACACCCGCGGGGTCTTCCACCGGGACCTCAAGCCGGAGAACCTCCTCGTCGACGAGGCGGGCAACCTCAAGGTTTCCGACTTCGGCCTCTCCGCCGTCGCCGAGCCGTTCCAGCCAGAGGGTCTCCTCCACACCTTCTGCGGCACGCCGGCCTATGTCGCCCCCGAAGTTCTCGCCCGCCGTGGATACGAAGGCGCCAAGGCCGACATATGGTCCTGCGGCGTCATCCTCTTTGTTCTCATGGCCGGATACCTCCCTTTCCATGACCAGAACCTCATGGCCATGTACCGTAAGGTTTACAAGGGAGAGTTCCGATGTCCAAGGTGGTTCTCCAAGGACCTTACTAGCCTGATCATGCGTTTTCTTGACACAAACCCAAGCACCAGGATCACCTTGCCGGAGGTCATGGAGAGCCGGTGGTTCAAGAAAGGTTTCCGGCCAGTCAAGTTCTATATTGAAGACGACCAGCTGTACAACGTGATAGATGCCGAGAATGATATGCTCGACCTGGGCCTCCCAGACCCTCTTCCTCAACCATTGCCGCCTCCACCTCCATCTCCATCTCCACAACAAGTTGATGGAGACGACTCAGGGTCAGAGTCGGACGCATCAGTCGTGTCCTGCCCTGCCACATCGTCATTTGAAGAGCGCCACAGGCTCCGCGGGCCACTCCCACGCCCCGCAAGCCTTAATGCGTTCGACATCATATCATTCTCAAGGGGATTCAACTTGTCGGGGCTGTTTGAGGAAAAAGGGGACGAGGTGAGATTCATCTCGGGTGAACCTATGCCAGACATTATAACGAAATTGGAGGAGATCGCAAATGTGAAGAGCTTCGCGGTGCGGAAGAAGGATTGGCGGGTGAGCCTAGAGGGCACAAGGGAAGGGGTTAAGGGGCCACTAACAATCTGCGCGGAGATATTTGAACTCACGCCCTCCCTTGTAGTAGTGGAGGTAAAAAAGAAGGCGGGGGATAAGGAAGAGTATGATGATTTCTGTAACAAGGAACTGAAGCCAGGAATGCAGCATCTTGTGCACCAGATGGTCCCAGTTCCAAATACACCTACCATTTCTGAGTTGGCCGAAAGGTACTAATTTTTTCCTCCCTTTTTCTCTTGTGCTGGAGGTAAATATGAAATAATAAAAGCTGTTTCTTAAACATTATATGTTGCGCGGAAAATGGTATTATTTGATCCTTGGGTGTGTAGTTTTTTGTATCTTAAAATCACATGCTCAATCGATTCTATCTTGTGCACCACATGCTAGGTAGTACTGTTCTTACCTGATTAAACTTTCTGTATCATAAAATTGCATTCTCAAGGATTTTATCAATCTATCTTCACTCATGCTAATTTTGTCAATATATGTTTTCTTTTGCTAATTATGTTCTCCTAACAAATAATTGTAATTTTAACACAAGTAATTGGAAGATTTTAATCTGTAATCCGATGCAGTTTGATCTACTCACCTCGTCCTTTGAAAACTGTCAACGATTGAAATCTCTACTACACAAAACAAAGATCTGAAATAGTTTTTGATTTCATTGTTCGTAGTTCTAATCAGATGTACGAAAATTTGATGAAAACAAAGTGAAATTGATTGTTTGTAGTTCTAATCAACCTAGTTTGTGGCTGTTGAAATGATTACAAATTGTTTCACTTGTTTCTTAAGCATACAATATTTGCTCGAGAGAGACAGAGTAGCTCTGCATTTCTCTAAGAAAGCTTGTCGATTATACAATAGTTGTCCTTTTTCCAATGCATTTACCACCAATTTTCGTGGATGTATATTTTTCACCTGAAGTAGAGTGGAGAATCAGAGGGGATGCTTGTACTCATTAAGGGTAGAAACACCTTTATTTTCACCTAAAGACCCGCGCTTCGCATGGGTTTGTGCTTTCATATTTACTTCTCAAGAGGAGAGGTGTTGGAACCACACTTCAATAGCATAGGTTTACGTGGTGTACTACGTGTGTGTCTGTCTGTGATCACAATAACTGGCTGCTAAAAGGTCTGCTGCACTTTATCCACTTAATTTGGTGCAAACATAAAAAGATATGATTGCATCCTAGTTATGGAAATATCTAGCAAATATAATCAATTATATGGTACTCACTCGATCAGACGTTTTAGTTATTGTATTTCTCCCTTCTCTGTAATTGATGACAACATACCATGTTAGACCCTTATTAACCACTTGATATGATCCGGACGTTGGGTGCACAATTATGCACAAACACATGGAGCACATTTTTATTTATTACTCCCTCCGTCCCATCCTAGTGCAGTGTCAAAGACGCTCTTATATTATGGGACGGAGGGAGTTCGATTACCCACTGCCCGACGCTGTAAAAGCTACTCCTCCATTGTATCCAGCCTGGCAAAATTGATGGTATAGATCCATGACTTTACACAGATAGAATTTAGAGAGCTTTCATACTCTGCGCCTATTATAGAGCTGCAGCTAACACCAGGGTGTTCCTGCAAGATTTGTTATTATTCTGGTCAACCTTCATTTGAGAAGCACTTCCGGAATTTGTAGGGACATCTTTGGTTTGAGCCAAGCCTAGCCTACGAAATATTTGGGTAGCTAAAATTTGGCAAATGCTGGCAAGAAAAATGAACCAGGGTTTCGGGTATGCCAAAAATTTGGCACCCATCTAAACAATTACCAAACACTACCCTTAGCATCCAAACGTCAAATTTGTGTTTGATTGCTTACCTGAAGGCTGATGATGTTCTTATGGTATATTGTAGGGGCTTGAATTTTCGAATTTTGAGGTGAATGTGATGTGTTGAAGTATGTCAATTGCCCCATATATAAGCATATTGCATTGCTTGATGCAGGCCTTCAAGGTAACAGGCGCCACCGCCCCTAGAGCTAACGGGGATAGGGGGAGCGACTCTCCAAGCTAGAAAGAAACAGGAGTCGGGTGCAACTGACAGGAACAAGAGTTCTTGTAGTCTCGGGCACTGACGGTGATGAGCGCGGTTACTTGGTTAACTCTGGAGAGCATACATAATGTTATCCGAGACGGGAGCTAGATTGTGGCTGTATATGGTGTCGCCCTAGCTGCTGTTCAAATGTTATACTTTCTCTACTTAATTAGCTGATGATTGTGTATGTACTCCTGCTTATCAGCAGAACCGAATAATTTTGGGTAATCGTTAATTCAAGGATCGAACTGATTGAGGAATAAATTGGGTGCAATATGCACCCTTTGGCCACCAGGCACATGCAGACGTGCTTGGATTCCGAATCTTACATTTTCTGATCCGCATAATTGTGTGCAAAAGTCCAGATCCCTGCAATTGCCATGGAAATGGCACGAGGCATCGTCGTCGCTGCCGCGCACGTGAATGAGCACTGGGCGAGCAGCCTGGGCACGGCGTAGGTGATGATGGATGGCCATGGGCCATGGCCTACCTCGGCAGGTCGGCAGGCGTGGTCGACCGTCGTCGGCTGCTCGGGCTGGGGCAGGGCGCGGGGGACAGGAGGGGCCGGCGTTTGGCCACGAAAGCGCCGTGTGCGGCCTGGAGTTGGCGGCCTGGGCCATGGTCGCGCATCATCTGCGGAGATAAAGATTTCGCATTATGCATCGTCGTGTCCCCATCGTATCTGCGCGCGTGTTCTTTTCCCTGGATCCGACGACGAGCGCCGACGGCGACTGACGGAGACGACAACATCGTTAGACGATGGGTGTCGACCATTAATACGATCGGGAAAATACAAACAGCTTATTTATTTGTGGAGTATTTGAAAAGACGTTCGATATATTCATGACCGTCGTGTTTGATGTATCTCGGTACTGAGAGTGAAAGCACATATTCCGGTGTGTGTGTGTATAGGTACTATTGCCATGGGTTTCCCGTGTGTAAGTTTAGCTTTTCTTTGAAAGCAAGTCACATTTGTGACGTTTCAAAAAGAAAAAGGAAAAGCACTTGTAACCACTGGATCTGCTTACTTTAGCAGCGTAGTACTAGCGTACGCGCATTTGAACTGGTTACAAAAAAAAAGAACTTTTCTTTCAGTGGCAGCACATGAACTTCGCTTCCGAGAAAATATCAAGGTGTACTGGTCAAGTGAATTTGTAAGGGCATCTTCAATAAGGGCAGTACCATGCCGTAGCCTCGTTAATCCACATTAGAAGAGTGGTGAAATGCGAACCAGACTATGGTTCGATGGTTATGACATCAATGGTATTCTCAGTCCATCAGAGTTCAAGTTCTAGACTTGACATTGGTGCTCGCGTTAATTCTGAATTTATTTCAGACTTCCAGCGATGTTCGTTCAGTGGGATTCCCGTTGACTACGAGGCGCTTGCGGTAAGTTCGTAAAATATCAAGATGCTATGTTGGCTTAGTCTCTCAGAGGTGCTCATTAGATAGGGCATGCGTGCATAGGGTGAGCATATGCTCGTGTAGTTGTGTATGTGAATGACTTCGTTTGTATTGTGTTCAAAAAACAGAAGAGTGATGAAATATTATTTTCATCTAGTCCTTAGGCCTTGTGCAATGCAAAGTGCTTAGAGAAATAAATCAGATTTTTCTTAAGCATCGTTGCTTATTTATATAAGGCAGACGCTTAATTAGATGTCTCTCCTCTAAAAATAGGCACTAGTGCTTCAAAAAACTTGGTTTATTTTTTAAATAACTCCCTAAAACCTACCATTGTATAAGGCCTTAAAAGAAGTTCTCTCTCCATCTTTTTCACCTTTTCTGTATCCATGGTGGCTCTTTCTTCCTTTTTCCTCTCACTCTCTCAACAAAGCAGCTACTTTTTCCGTCTTAATTTATGGACACCAACAACACACTAACATTCCAGGGAGGTACGCGAGCGAACGATCGTCCCCACAACAAGGTAGAAATGAGCGAACGTATTTGTTCAATGGCAAATACCCCGAGCACGACCCAAAATTCGCGCGCCGCAGGCCACTCGCCCTCTCCCTCTGCTTCTTTCCCTGCTCCAGAAAATGGATTAGCTCCCCAAAATCATGTGTGATTTGCCAGAGCAAGATACATGCAATTTACCTATACAAAAGATCGGTTGCCATTGGAAAAAAAAGGAAGATTAGCAGTGTAAAGATTTGCCATGACAAGAATAATTCAAATAGATTATAAAAATGATGGAAAAACCTTACCTATCTTATAGTTTGAATTTTGCCAAGTTAATTCTGTTGGAAAATCACACACACACGCACGCGCGCGCGCGCGCACACACTAACTAACGACCCCTACAACCCATGCTCTCCTTCCACGCCTTCGTAGAGATAAGAGCAGAATTTAAAGATGAGATGAATAGAAAGAAGAAGAAAGGTGATTCTCCCCCATCCCTACATCTTTCCACCCAGAAAACAAGAATCAATGAAGTACGAGACACATGTTACTATACTCTAAAAATTAATTTGTCGTGCCTTTTGAATAAAACAACCAGCTGGTGGAGGGTATGTTTATACCTAAGTTTGCCATATGTAATACACACAAAAAAAACTAGTCATGATGTGTGAACCCAAATTGCCATCAATGAAAATCCAAATTTGCAATGCATGAGAAACTAAAATTGCCATAACTTAAAACATAGATAAAAAGGTAGCAATGATGTTCGTACTAAAGTACCCATCCATGCTTTAATTGACATGTTTTAATTAATAAAATTGACATGCGTTAGTTAATAAAATTGCCATCCTGTAATTATAAATTGTCGTGCTATAATTAATAAAACTTTCCAGGACCTATGTAACAAAATTGTCATGCTCATTATAGTGAACCTAGAATTTTTTATTATATAAAATGCTGGATTTGTGCCTAAGTGGCCGCTAACAAGCATAATAAATTTAAGGGAATCTTCATGATTGTAATCTCAACATGGCAAATTTAAGAGAATTTTGTTATCTCAACATGGCAACTTTTGAAAAATTGTAATGGTCACACGACAAAAATTAGGAGTTGTGCCTAAGTGGCTGCTAACAATCATGGCAAATTTAGAAAAAAAAATGTAGTCGTTCACATGGCAAAAGCGGGAATTTTAATATATAAAAAATATGGCAATTTTGGTAAATGTAAATGGGTTACATGGAAAATTTAGAATTTTTTGTATTCGAAAAATCATGGAAAACTTAAAGAGTGTTGTAATGGTCATATGGTACAATGTAGGATTTTTTTACCGCAAAGCAGAAAATTTAGTAAAAAAATGGTACTGGTTCACATTGCAAATTTAGAAAATTAATTTCCATGACTGAAAGGCAATGCTGGAAGCTTTTGTAAATGGTCCCATGGATTTTTTTTAGAAAATTGAAATGACTAAATCATGGCAATTTTAGGACAAGAATATGTAATTGTTACACGACACGTTTTGGATTTTTGCACTATAATCATGGCAAGTTTGGGAAAATATGTAAAAATGGTACATGACCAATTTATAAATTATTGTGTCCCGAACATGGCATAAAATAGAGAATGTATAAATGGTAACATGGCAAATGCTGAAAATTAGTACTATGAAGCATGCAAAAATTTGGAAAATGATCGTACTAATAATGAAGAATAACCTATGAAGCATGGCAAATTTTGTATTCATTAATCAGGACAACAACACAAAAAACATGGCAAATTTTTGTACTCTGAAAAGCATGGCAATAACTACCTTGTTCTGACTTATGATGCCAACAATAAACAAAAGTGTAGATGCCATGAATCAAAAAACACACATACATAGTTTTACTTGGTATGCAAAGATTTGCCATCGAATGTATTTTGACATCCTAGCCTATATAGTCTTACTTTGAAAGGATCAATACGGTCGACTAGAGGGGGGTGAATAGGGGTTACAAATTTTAATATTTCTTATCAATTTTAATGTTTAGGGGATAAATAGGGTTCACTAGATATGCAACTAGGTGAACACAACCTATATGACAAGCAAGCTTAAAGCTAAATATGCTAGGCAGCAATCTAATTAGCAAGCCAACAAGCATACACAACAAAGTAAAGTGCGGGGAAAGGATTAACCACAAGTGACGCGAGGACACAAATTTTATCCCGAAGTTCACTCTTCCTTGGGGAAGAGCTACTCTCCGTTTAGAGCGGTGCCGGAACCAAAGCTTGCAGAACGCCATGAAGGCTCACCATAATCTCTTTCGAGTCACCCCCAACGGATGAGCCTCGAATCACTCGGGGTTGGTCTTGAAGGCGACCACCACACCTTTACAAACTTCTTCGAAGCACACCACAAGCAAGGAAGCTTCCGGAGGAACCTCTAACTGCCTAGGAGCTCAAACTCCAAGAGTAACAAGTCAACGGGGAAGAAATGTTGCGGGGAACGTGATTTGGTTTGTTCAAGATGTAGACTGGGTCTTGCTCTCCCAATCCCCAAAGTTTCAATAAGTTTGGGTGGAGGGATTGAGAGTATTGAGCAAAATGAGGTGTAGCAATGGTGGAGCTCAACAAGACATTAGGGTTGGGGATGGAGGAGGAAGAAGGGAGGCTTATATAGTGTTCTTAGTCGGGTGGCCATTTTCTGCCCGTTGGACCCTGTGGGCACGGGCTAAGTCAGCCACGTGTGCACGGGGTACTCAGGAACAAACACACCACCCCATGCGCACGGGAGTTAAAGGACCCCGTGGGCACGGGGTACCCAGGGTGTTGTGCAGTACACCGTGCGCACGGGGCTCAAAAGACCCCATGCACACGGGGTACCCAGGAAGTTATGCAGTACCTCGTGCGCACGGGGTACCCAAAAACTTTCTATTGCAAACTTTCTGAGTACCACACACTAGCACACTACAG